TACAGGTTATTTATTGTCTTTATCGCTGTTTCTACAACAGACCTAATATCCCGCTAGGTTTCCTTAGGATGACTATCGCTGTCATGCGTAGATAAATGCTTAGCTAATTCCTCTCTAAATGCGTACTTGATATCCCCACTTTTCAATTGGCCACAGACAGGCTTTACTATCACCTGTTTCCCGCGGCCAATAAGACGCAGATATACACGAGCCTATACTACTGCATGATCGGAGTCTAAACTAGTACTTTAGAAAGAGTGGTAATGCTCCACTGATTCTCTTCAGCGAGCAAGCAATGAGGTAAATCTGTGTCCGTCGTTCTTTTGATGTCGGAGGACGAAACGTGAGACAGTGTCTCTCCATATGTCTAACGTTAGTGCTGTCCAGAAACAGGTGGTTATCGGAGAAAGGTTTCAACAGACGATAACCGCTGTCGGATCATTGGCATGGGAATCCTGCTAATACCTCTCAGGTGCCTTTCCGATCGGCTCAGCTTCACTACTTGAGCGTCAAAGTTAGCTGTCATTCTGACTACATCTGAACAGTTTGTGTTCTTCAGCGAAGTCAACAGCTTCTCATAGAACTCATCCTTTGCAGCATCCCAACTACATTCGGTAGTTCGTAGGCAGAGATTACAAATAGGCATCGCCTAGTCTCACGATCCTTCCTAGTTCTTACTGACCCATTTAGTCGAACAACACATAGACAGCTGTTGACTGGTGTCTAGTCAATAAGTGCACTATCTGTTCGACGACTGAATGCTATGCTGACACCAGCGAGTACACCAAAGCTAGCCAACAGGTCTCCAGATATTCTTGAGGTGAATTCTCAGGATTCCTTACTGTGCCCAAGTGAGCTCAATTAATGAATAACAGCACTAGGGTCCTGTATGCATGTCTCGGAAACACAATACACATCCATGGATAAAGATTCATGAGTTTTGGAGAGTGATGCTTGCTGTCTGGTTTGGCAGAGAGTTTGGACGTTTAAAGCTCCCATATGAAATCTTTGGCGGGATACTAGGAGACTAGAAATGATGTTTTGATGGCTTTGGTCTTTAACAGTGGTTGTGGAGTGAGAAGTTGGGTAAGGTGCAAGAGGCCTAATATTAGTATCAGGAGGTGACGGCAAAGTAGGAGATAGGGTTGAGGAGGATGGCTAATGTTTGACCACGTTTTGTGCACTACTGGAAGCGTGTAAGCGGTTGACACCTCCCAGCTGCCCACACCGTGGAGGGCTATTTCTCCTGAAGGTAACTGAAACAGAAAACGATTTATGTGACTTCAGAAACTCTAAGATATCTGGTAGAGGCCTGTTACTCATGGCCTTATGTGAGATGTTGTTATGAGGTTTCCTTGTTCTAAAGCTGGATAGGGAGAACCCATCCCACCCGCACCATAACAAAATGGAAGCAGGGTGGAGTGTGTTACTTTCGGGGCCCACATTTTCTAATCCCCCACTCTTCCATTGACAAGGCAGCATCAGTGTGGCACTGCTGGTTATCAAAGGGAAACCCTTTGCATTCTCCACACCCCCATCCAGCTAGCAGTAGTACGATTTAGCCCTCAAACCCCCAACACAGCGCAGCAAATTACAGTGTAATGGTAACTGCTTCTTGTGTAAACACTATTCAAAAAGACCTTCCGATCTGGTTGGACCTCAACGGAACAAGTAATCCACTAGCATAGATCGTTGGGTCATTGTGATGTGCAAGCCATACCACCAAGTGGAAGTGGCAGCTATCTGTCGGATCCGAGAAAGCAGCTAAGTCTTTCGTCTTGATTCTCACTACCTGGTTATTCTCGCCTCGCTAGACTGTTTTCCAACCAAACAGTCAGTTAACATTTTATGGGCATCACGTTCTCATAATTGTAGTTTGACAGAAAGGAGTAGAGCAGAAATACATGGATTTACGAAAAAATGATCATCAGACCCGATTGTTATTTATGTGTTCACGAGCATATAACATTACGGTATCAAACATCATAAACTCATCTTCAGAATTCAACCTTCAAAAAGTATTGTGTGAAGTACTAATCCTCCTAGCAAATTATAACTGCAAAAACACTAGTAATGAACAGTTAGTTATTGGAGAGATCAGTTTTGTCGGTTTTGTAAAACATTCCACTCTGCCAATACCATCAACACCACCACTAACCGAACGCTCTCCCACTCTAAACAATGTTTAACTAATCTAATAACAATTGCCAGAAGGAGGAGGAGGAGGATGAGGATGAATAGGCATGGAAACTGAGTTCAGAAAATTCACCATAACGCATATCTTTCAACATTCATGCACTTGAATAGTAAAATCTATCAAGCATAATGATTTCAGACTTCATTGTGTGAAGTTACTTTGCGTCCTGTTGTTCTGTAAAGCCTGACGAGATTATCTATTACTGAAGTGCTTATTCGATGGGATGGCGTACTTGTTTTGATCAAAATGTGTATTATGTTAATCACTAAAATGCTAATTTTTTTGAGATAAGTTGCAAAACGTTTTTTAGTAAGTTGGGGTAAACGTCAAGAAATGTCAGATTTGTCTTTCTACCTGTTCGTTCTTTTAATCCTTGGAAAACCAGCAATATTTTACTTATCGATAACGTTTTTGAGGTCCATATTTTGACAATCTGTCAAGGCTATATATATATTCTCCACTAGATTATATTTGGAGTGAATTTTCACATTGACTGGAATTCAATCCGGCCTATATTTCAATGTCGTTATTTTAACTTGGAAAGCTTTTCTATGACAGGACTTATTTTACTAGACATAGGCTTTTATTCTTCTTTACGTATTGCACATGAAATGACCCCATTACAAATGAGTCTCCATAAGATAATGTGAAAAACTGCATTTTAGCTGATATATATAGTTAATTGCATAATTGCATGTTAAGTGATATTAGAATACAACTTTTACCATAACTGTAATGCTCAGAGTCTAAATGTTAACCGTAGTCCATTAATCAAAATTTGCATCATCGCAGTGGCTTCTGATTGATGTTACATATTCATTGGCGCTTGACAAGAGATATCTAACCTAGGTTTCAATCCAGACAGTACCCGTGAACAAAAAGTACATGAAACCTAAAGAAATGTTATGCAGTCTAAGATATGCAAACCTATATCAGTCAGAGATGGTAACGCGTAAAAATGCCATATTTAGTGATATAAAAGAAAAGCAACCGCAGACAATAGATAGCTTTGAAACCTCAGTGAAATCCAAATGATAAAGAAGCCAGTAGAGATTATGTTTACAAATCAGTTTCATGTAAGGAAAAAACCCTACCTTAATAGATCGCTTTTATGCTGACTATTCAGCATTTAATTACTGTTACATACCTATGCAAAATAATTCATTGAAAAAAGATATTTTGATCAGATTCATTGTTTCATAGTATTTTATTCAACACAACTGAAATTTGCGACATCTTATGGTAAGGTTGTGAGTGTCCCTGCATTTTTTTTCTGTTATCAAGCTTCTGATTACTATCCAAAAAGAAGATATTCAAGGAAACCAACTTAGTTTTTGTCTCTCTGGATATCATAGATGTGACAGTCGGACAGATTAGTACAACCGTATGGAAGCACTTTGGCTTGAATTTCTACACTATACAATAGCATATAAAATAAAAATGAGCAGGAGGGGAAATAGATATGGAAGAAGTCAGAAAAAATAAGTGTAGATCAGTGGGCTGTACAGAAATAGCAAAATCATGAAGTATGGGTACGTGTGAGTTATTGTGAACAGCTTGGAAACATTTTGTTAAAACTGTTCAACTCCTAAATCTTAGTAGCTTGAGGACTCTGAATAGGCATTCCGTGATTTCCTACATAGGTTAGTGGATTTGTGATGTCATCATTAACTGTCTTCTAACGGAATCCCACTTCAGTTCACACTACTCGTCAAAGAAGTCACTGGTTGAATGTGTTTGTGTGTGTGTGTGTACAACAAGCAACCCGTCAGAAAAAAGACGTGGAATCTTAGCCAGAGTGACACACAGAAAAGACTAAACTTTTCTTCTTATTATTATTATATTATTTTTCCTTTGGGTTCATAGTGGAAGATAGGGCTTCAGTAGCACGTCACCATTTCACTCTCTTCTCTGCATTCTTCTCAATCTGGCGCCACGGCTGCCCAAAAGCTTTCATTTCTTCCTCACACGATCTCTTCCATGTCACCCTCACCTAGGACGCCCAACTCGTCGCTTCCCATTTGGGTTCCACTCGAGGGCCTGACCTAGCGCGTGATGTCCCCAAGTAGACTTCTCAGTGCGTGCCCAATCCATCTCCACTTTCTCCTCCTGCATATTTATTGGGTGATAGGTTCTTGGTTGGTTCGTTGTGAGAGTTCCTTGTTTCTTATTCTGTCTGGCAATGTGATCTTCAGTATTGAGCGGACGTAGGTGGAAGCTGTTGATGCATCTCTGTAGTCTGTTAGAAATGCTTTGCGTAACGCGCCAAGTCTCTGAACCATATCAAAGCACTGACTTGAATGAATTAGTGTTGAAAATCCGGATATTGTTCCTTATGCTGAGTGCAGTGCAGTAGATCTCCACACTGATTTCACGTTGATGAAGGCCTGTCTTACTTTTCCAATCCTGGCTTTGACGTCCTGATCTGCGCCACCACCTGCAGTTGGAATGATGCTGCCTTGCCTGGGTAGGTGAAAGAGACTACTTCCTTTAAACTTTTCTTATTAGTATGATAATTTGTTCCGAAATGTAATTTTATGAGAAACTCCCTAAACTCTCCAGGAACATTTATTTACTACTTATAGTCTACATAATGGACAAAGTAACTCGTAAAAACTTTTCACGACAAATAATGTCAAATAATACTAGTTCAGACACCAATTCGGATTTCTTTGCAAATAAAAGATATGGATTGACTATTTTGAGAAGCATCTACTGAAACTATGTTTAAGTAGTTCAGATTGTTATTAGAAATATCTTGCACGTTTTCATATATCAGACAACAGGTTTTCGAGTAACTCACCCAGACTGATAAGACGAGATGGTTCGGTATTGTCTGCAGAATTCGCTATCATCTTCAGTATTACTGCATCAAACTGACCCATATCATTCTATTCATGAAAATAAAAGGAAAATTGAAAAGTAAGTGAATGAAGCAATAAAATAGAAGAGGACACGTAACCAGAACTGGTTGTGATCGACAAGAAACCAGTTTATAAAGCACTAATGAAACGTTTTCAAAATTTGATTTGTTTTTACTTACTGGACATTCATACAAACTACCAACATCTTGCTTGATTAGTAGTATTAGAAATGATCAGAAGAAAAACATAAAGGTAATTTTGTCCGTCGTCCACTTGGTGGGTTTATCTATTCAATAAAAAAAGGACTTTAAAACTCCCTATGTAAGCGTCGATCGCCATAAAAAGCCACGTAATGTTCCATCAGAAGTAAACCAGATTTGTCAACGGAGTAAGTTTCCAAAAAAATCAGTTTACTAAACCATTCAGTTAACAATTAATGAAGTCTCCCTTCCTTCCCTTTCCTGACTAAATTCATATTCCACTCATCATTCAGTGCTTCGATTGGAGGATAGTCAACTGGTTGTATCACAATATAAATCTTTTGTTTAAGTTTCCGATTTCTTGCAAGAAATCCATATTAAGTAGTGCTTAGTTTCCTATGCAAATCTTACAGTTAAATAAGTACTGTTAGTGAAAGTAGTATTCCAAAGTGGCAATGTAGATGAATAAATGGGTTACCAGACCATGGAGAAAAAAGCCAGTATCAGTGTATGCTTTGGCAGAACTGAATTACGGCCCAATTCGCCACACCTCAAATCGGTACACGACAGTGAAAGGTAGTAAGTTGAAAAATAGAGGTCTAAAAACGTGTGGTCAAGGTTTTAGAAAGTCATTTAGAAAGAGCGGGGAAGGGGTTCAAATAATAATGAAATGAGATATGATGATTAAGATGAAGACAATGTGCGGATGCATGCATAACATAGTTTCCATTTATTGATTTTGGTTGTCACATAAACATCTATCTAAATGATTACATTTCCTTAGAAGATTCACTTCAACGGTCAGTAACTTCGCAGATTGATACCACTTTTTGTACTGACCACCTCTAAACTTCTTCCAACCTGAACCTACTTAGGTAGATAGTGCATGCCGAATTGGACGTTAACTAAACATACATAACAAACGCCTCATCTACTTGGGTCAACTAAATTTTATAATCTCATCAACAGACTTACCAGTTTAACTTAATACTGTACGCCTGAATTCTATGTTAATAAATTAGTGGGTCCACGATACAGCGAGTACTATGAAAAGGGAACGGTGATCGGACACCTGAAACCTTTTCATTTACTCTGCTTTCAATGGCTTTGTTTCACAGCCATAAAGTAGACTAGATCAGTGCATTCAAAGCTTAGTAGGCAATCATTTTTCTCAACGATGCCTTATGTGCGTAAATTGGAAAAAACCAACCAAAACCCTTTTATTTCTGCTGTGAATTCAGCGGTTACTGACTTTTCAGGGATGGTCTGACTTCCTAATTAGGTGCTTCAAGTCAATTCATGAGGGAAGAATATCAACATAAAGACCAGAGAATCATATATAAAAGTCTTGAATAACAATTACTTCAGTCTTTTGAGGTGGATAAACAACTAATGCATTTGAGTGTTTCCTATTAATTTTTAGGTGGATATAACCATCAATGAGTAAGGCTTGAAACGAACTATATTCAGACGATTGCCAGACGAAACATGACACTTCCCAATGTATGTTATGCTTACAGTGCATCTGAATACTTTTAATCAGCTCAACTTTTGCATTATAATACATTACAGTACACTAGAATAAGGAAACAAAGGGAAAATGCAACAAGGGTTGTTGATGGAATACCTACTTCAAAAAGAACAAAGATACAGAAATTTAGCAAAAGGAATGTTTGAAATATCCATAACTTCAGTAAGCGGCATCTCTAAGATCGGTGGGTAGTTGTCAATTATAAAAATGTGAAATAAACATCAAATCGACTGAGGCCAGATCATTTCACTAGTTGATCTTTATTCCTCAATCAAAAAATGCCTGTTGATTCTAGTTTTGAATGCATGTCTAACCGATATTGATCTGTAATGAAAACAGTTTTCTTTTTTTTGCTTGAAATGACGGGTTAGGTTCATATTGTGTGATTTAAAATAATGTTCTAACCAGTTTCAGACAAATTAATTCCATATCGTGATTGACAGATCATTCGTGAATCACTTTCATATGAAGATCCTGAAGTTGCATCAAGAATCAACAGTCTCTAGATAGTGAAAATGAAGATCGAACTAGACGATCATAGCCTCATATCATCAATTGAAATCATTTCGAAAATTTGAATCAAGTTAGTGAATGGCAATGTGTCTACTTTAAAACCTGAACATCTTTTGCAACAGTTTTTGTTTGATACTTTTAATTCCCCATTTCTATACATGGTCAAATTGTTTGACCTCTGTTGTCAGATGGGCTCATATGCTGAGGCCTCGATACTGCCGAATACAACATCTTTATCGATATTTCTCAGAGGACCAGGGTGGACACTATTCAGAAGTCCTTAACTAGGACGAAACAACTATCTCATACTTCTTAATTTTATTCATTTTATGAAAATGTAGTTTTGCTTGTTACAACGCCTTTTGATTATTTTTCAACGTTCATAAAAATTTTAATCATTTTAGGATGAAAATATTTCGATTTTAATATGTGTTACTTAGCTTGTTTCCATTCTTAACAAATCGATTTCAGTTTGGTATTCATCATGGACTGACATTAATTTGAAAACCATTGAAAGTCTGGAAGCAAAGGGCAACTGTTTCGTCTTAGTATGAGGCTGTTCAGGAGTGCGCCTCCATGATTCCGCTTTTATGCATGAAACAAACTATACATTCTCAACAAAAATTGTATGTAAAGGCGATTGTGTAGCTTAATGAATGAAATTGTCGGAAGAAGTCTCTTCATTAAACCACTTGTATTCACCTGTACTACAGAGTAAACTAAAGTTATCTCTTACGCATTACATGGTTACAAATACTTCTGCAAAACAGATTCTCTTCATAAAGCCTCTAATGAACTGACCACCATTAAAACTGTATTTTGGATGATTAGTTAGAAATTCTTACCCTTCGAATTAACAGTATCACCTGCAGTATTTTAAAAAGTTATGAACCAGATGATAGCTGAATTAAATACTGTGGAATCTCATCAATTTATCTTACGGTTCATGGTTCGAATATTGAAAGTCTTTTAAAACTACTCACTTGTTTCAGTGATAAAAATGTAGCTGCTAGTCCGTCCAAATGTCAGTTTAATTTGATGTCTCTATCAGACACATTGTAGATTCCAGTGGTTCTCAGCCTGGTATGAGTCATCCCGCTTCACCGATTCAAGTACCTTCACCAAAAAATACTTTAGGATCATGAACTGACCGCTTTACAGTTCTGCTCCAGGTTTATTACTAATTCACAGTTATTTTTTCCACTTTCCCATATTGTTTTTAGCCATCAGTTTGTACGGTAACAATGCCATCAAAACGTTTTAAGGAACATCTTAAAATTTCGGGATAACCAAGCTTTCCTGAGACCTTACTCATCACCTTTCTTATCACAGTTACTTCTCCGGTGGGTATAACTGCAGATCTAGGGCAAAATGAATAACCTATTATTAGTACTTCATGACGTTTAATTTAGAGTGAACAGGGATATTCTGAAACCCAGAAAGAAAGACTGGCGGTTGCCTAAGCAGTAAAGGGTTTCTACAAGTAGCTGTTCGGTACGAAGTCTTATACTGTCGCTCATCACCAACCTGTGAAATTCATTTACCATCCAAACAAATCCTTAGACAAGTCATCTCCTGCTATGCTTCGGAGATGGAATTTACAACTGAATGCTGATGACTATATAACTAAACACATACCGGCTAAAGATATCCATGATGAGGATTTCTTACCGCGTTATTCATCCCTTGAGAGTTCTTCTACTGATACTGATTGTTAATTAGTTCAGCCATTACCAGTTGACAGAATATAACTTATATGGAAACTCGGAAGTGATACAGAAGCAACATAAATGCAGTGAAGGGGTTGGAATTCCCGGTACAAGTGGAGCATTCTCGTGTTTATAAACGAAAAGATGAAATACAACTAGATCATGAGCACTCTTATGTTTGAACAACAGAATCGCTACTCCTCTGACATTAAGATCTGCTGTATGACATAATTTTCACTCTACACACCCAGGAGCTGGGAAAATGAAATTATTGGCACGCTTAATAAGCCTATGGTAGGGAATTAGTGCTGATATCATGTGAAGATTAAAGAGCCGTTCTGATTGTCTGCATATAATACCGTGTAGGAAATCACCACAGAATCCATGGCCTGCATCTTGTGAGACATGAAAGCGTATTCAAGCAGATTATTATGGTCTCTTAACTCATACTATGCTTTAGTTATGCTGGACTCAAAGTTCAAACAGCCGGAACTAATACTGTAGTGGGCGTCGCTGATCAGAATGGATATAAGTAGCATATGTTGAGAGGGCGGAAGAAATCATAGGGAATTTCCAGCAATGTGTAAAGATTCTGCCCTGAGAAACGCAATAAACAGTGTGACCGTTTTCACGGGCAGCATTAGTGACCAGCTATTTCCTTAGGGCTTTTCCTCAAGTTGATTTACGAGCAATCTGTTTGGTTCTTGCCATTTCGAAGACACCGAGAGACGATGACACAGGAAGGAAGGTTTATTATTGACATCTTGTACTGTAGTCATCAAATATTGTACGCCTTCCACTGAGGCAGTCATTTGCATAATGTGTTTCACTTCCTCTTCTGCTTCTGGTTTGATTTGCTCTTAATACGCCCACATGGTCCATTGCGTTTCTCTGAGCAGAATCTTTACACTTTATTGGTGACTGCCTACGGTTTCTGTTGCCCTCTCAACATATACTACTTATATTCGTTCTGATCGGCAACGCCCAATATAATACTTACAGACGCTGCTCACGCAAAATTCACTCACAAGGTGATGAGGAAGCTTTTCAGTCCCCAGTGAATACATGATGTTTTAGTCACTGGTAGTGGAAATAATTTCCCTGCGAAGAGCTCAAACAACTGGTTTAGAGATATCGGTTGCTATCAATTGTATACAACTCTGCAGCATCTTTGATCCAATAAGTTGGCAGAAAACTTTGTGCGGACATTAAAGAGTACCGAAATCGATAAATCCAAGCAATTTACAAGAACTGGAAAAGTGTTTTGATAATTTCCAACTTCAGTACCGAAATGCAGAACACAACACTACTCACAGAAATCCAGATAAACACTTCGAATCCCGAATTAGTCGAACACATTTGATGACTATGAATTTGTCAGATGTATAATATTATCAAGAAAATAATTGTCGACCTTCAGTAAGATTTATACTACAAAATATGCGAAGTCGAATGGTGAAGATTCTGGACCTAGAAGATCTATCTGTTCATAGAAGACGCATGGACCAAGTGAAAATCAATAAAGTAGGTCTTTCCAATGATAACTTAGTGATTCCCCCTACTAATCTTAATTTTATCCATAACTTCACAAATATAACTATTTCCTGATATACACCCTAACTTACTAAAAAACGTTTTGCAACTTATCTCAAAAAAATTAGCATTTTAGTGATTAACATAATACACATTTTGATCAAAACAAGTACGCCATCCCATCGAATAAGCACTTCAGTAATAGATAATCTCGTCAGGCTTTACAGAACAACAGGACGCAAAGTAACTTCACACAATGAAGTCTGAAATCATTATGCTTGATAGATTTTACTATTCAAGTGCATGAATGTTGAAAGATATGCGTTATGGTGAATTTTCTGAACTCAGTTTCCATGCCTATTCATCCTCATCCTCCTCCTCCTCCTTCTGGCAATTGTTATTAGATTAGTTAAACATTGTTTAGAGTGGGAGAGCGTTCGGTTAGTGGTGGTGTTGATGGTATTGGCAGAGTGGAATGTTTTACAAAACCGACAAAACTGATCTCTCCAATAACTAACTGTTCATTACTAGTGTTTTTGCAGTTATAATTTGCTAGGAGGATTAGTACTTCACACAATACTTTTTGAAGGTTGAATTCTGAAGATGAGTTTATGATGTTTGATACCGTAATGTTATATGCTCGTGAACACATAAATAACAATCGGGTCTGATGATCATTTTTTCGTAAATCCATGTATTTCTGCTCTACTCCTTTCTGTCAAACTACAATTATGAGAACGTGATGCCCATAAAATGTTAACTGACTGTTTGGTTGGAAAACAGTCTAGCGAGGCGAGAATAACCAGGTAGTGAGAATCAAGACGAAAGACTTAGCTGCTTTCTCGGATCCGACAGATAGCTGCCACTTCCACTTGGTGGTATGGCTTGCACATCACAATGACCCAACGATCTATGCTAGTGGATTACTTGTTCCGTTGAGGTCCAACCAGATCGGAAGGTCTTTTTGAATAGTGTTTACACAAGAAGCAGTTACCATTACACTGTAATTTGCTGCGCTGTGTTGGGGGTTTGAGGGCTAAATCGTACTACTGCTAGCTGGATGGGGGTGTGGAGAATGCAAAGGGTTTCCCTTTGATAACCAGCAGTGCCACACTGATGCTGCCTTGTCAATGGAAGAGTGGGGGATTAGAAAATGTGGGCCCCGAAAGTAACACACTCCACCCTGCTTCCATTTTGTTATGGTGCGGGTGGGATGGGTTCTTTCTATCCATGATTAGTACTACATATAATACTTTTTGAAGGTTTAATTCTTAAGATGGTTTTATTTTGAGACATTTGCTATCTGCTGGTAATTGTTCGCTGTAGAAAGTAAATTACTGAGATGACGGCGCTGATACGAAAGTAATAATCCATTATCTTCCTCGAAATCATAGGTTTACAATTATTCTATTCATTTGAGGCGGTGGAGAGCGCTAATAGTTCAGGATGTAAACGTTGAGATTGAGTTGTCCTCTGATTTGGCGTTTTAGTGGGCAAACGTTTCGATTTCATTTTCGATAGCGTGATCAATTCTTTATTATCTCACAAGACAGTGAACTAATCGGGTGCGTATGAATATTGATGAAACGTTACTTTGCCTGAGTCCCACCGAATCGGCCGCTTAGTGAGCTTGTCGGTGTACTTTGATCTTTTTTCGTTGATACTTTGTTCGAACTTACTCGGACGGGTGTACAATGACGGTATTTGATGACTTCTTTTGGTTGCCTACAGTACATTGATGTTGTGACTGGTTAGCCCTTCTTGAGTGAATGAACTGAAAAGGGTCACTTTGATCTAATTGGCTGACATTTCAGTTTGCGTGAATTTATGAGGGTTGTCTTGATCAGGTTGAGTAAGCCTTGCATACTTGGGTGTGATGGTTGTTGATACTAATCAGTTCATTTGCTTAATCTGAATGGTGTTTAACACGGATTAGTTGGTTTGTTCCAGATAAAGGGCTATTGTTTGTCACTACTGACTGGCTGGTTTTTACAGGATAGATGGCTGTTTATTCTGGCTGCCCAACTGCATGAAGTTGGTTAGACACCAGTTAGTAATCTTGACCCAATTGACTGATGATCACCATCTGGTTGTGTCAAGGGTATTTCCGCATTCAGATTAACTGATTACTGCCATGTATTTGTTTAGAGTTGACTCTTAAATTGCGTCTAGGTTGAAGTGGATATTTATGGCTAGCTTGTTTGAGTAACAGGCCTCCAAATATTCTCAAAGTAACTTCCAAGTTTGCATTTTTAATCATTTCGAAGTTGTCTCAGTTGAACGTTTGTTTGTCACAGTGTGTTCAGATGAGTGGCTTCATGTTATGATCTTTGATAGGCAGCTTGTGTCCATGCAGGTGTTACTATATACATCAAGCTGATTGTCCCATGTAGTGGTTCTAGCACCTCATGCAATCAACTTTGTGGATGATACTGGTTATTTCTTCATTGCAGGGTGGTTCTTTCAATTTTCACAAGACCTGTTCCTATTGGTTTTGTTGGTTTATATGATACTACCATTCCAAGAGGTAGTAAGAATCTGACTACCATTTCCAAGATATTCTAGATACATGCGAGGACGATTGTTTTGCTAGTTTTGCAAGGAGATTTGGATTTTATTCATTTGAAAAGATGTCTCCTGATCAAAATCTTTTTGTCGAAAGTGAGTTGAGAGGTATAATATACCTTAATTTGTTTCTACTCTTCCAAATAGTGTTGTTACACATCTTTCATCATGCGACACTGAATTGTTACTGTTGTAAAACTCTGTCAGTGTTTGAACGTGATCAACAGTCACAGAATCAAGAAATTGTACTTATTCTTCAGCCATCCAATGTTAGTGTCATGAAATTTACTGGCATCTTGTCATTCAGCAGTTTGCTATAAATGGTTTGCCCACCAATTTCAGTTAAATTCTTATATGTAAAAACTGCATACAATTTTTCGCATTTATAAACTTTAACAGCGTAAAAACAACAAGTGAGCTCATTTTATCACTCCAAGGATTCTTTTCGACTACTTACAACCTAAATAATATCGAAATGCATACATTATGAGAAAAGAACATGCTCTCATCAAGTTGACAATAAATTATTGACAGAACTAACAAGTAACAGATACGAAATAATATCAATAATAAAAGTAGTCGAAATCATCAGGAATCCTATAGGACGACTGACCATTTACACAACTACTAGGTGAATATTTTTGAAGGAGAAGCTGAAAAATAATTGTCACAGGATGCATAACCTCTGGATTCGACTCACTTAACTCTTCAGGCTCTTGTAAATTCAGAATAAATTTAAATCAACTTGATGACCAATTCCTGTAATGTATACGATTTGATATTATTTAGGTTATAGACAGTTGGGAAGAATCGATGAAATGATGAGAACGAGCTCATACTATTCTTATCTGTAAGTTCAATGAGTTTTTCATCAGAATTCCATGGCAAGATATTTCCACAAATTCAAAACAGGTAACTGAAGTGAAGACAGCAGGATTTAACAAGTTCATAATTTTCTCAACTGGATATTCTACATCCTTGACATTATATAGCCCGATGCATGATAGCATATATTTTGTCTGTCTGACGCATATCTATGCTGATCAATTCTTCCTTCAATGCACTCGATCATCTTCATTCCTTCTGTCAAATCCCTTGTATCATAGTGTTTAGAATGTGGCAACCTAGACTGATCAACACGCTTCGTGCATTGTAGCGACTCACTCAATTTCAGTTTATGACAATCAGTCAATCAAAAGCACAAGCAGACAAACAGTGGCTTAGCAACAGGAACCGATATTTTAGTACTTTGTCAAGACTTCCGAGTACTATGAGTATATACTAACAGCTGCTCTAAAACTGAAACAAAAGAATAACTAAAAGACATCAAGCGTAGACAAACTATTATATCTTCACTTACTTTGATCAATGTCCACGATGTAACTCGGCCATCTGCACTGATAGAAAAGAAATTTAAATTTCCATCTAAATCATGTGGTTGCCAGCGGACTTCCCACACAGGATCTGTATGTTTACCAGTTTTCGCTGTACTTAAATATAACGGTCCACTTTTATGCTGTATAATGCTATAAACTCCGACTGCTCCATCGTAAAATCCAACACAAAGCATATGTGACATTGTTGGATGTATATCCAGTGAAAGTACGCCTGATTCTGTCTCAAAATGATATTCTGGGTAACTTGGATTTTTTAGTGTGTATGAACAAATCAAACCACTGGACTGTTTCAAGAAATCGTCTGCCAACGTAGAAAACATATTTTTGGCTACTCATAAGTAGTTAAATACAAACAAATAATTTAATTAACCACTATGGTTGCTCGTACAACTCGTCTATCGTTCACTAATATTCTTTTTTTCTAACATCAACTAACATTAAACAGATCAGTGGTTAGGAAATGTTAAAAATAGTCGGTTGAAGCTAATTTTATTAAGTGAGCTGATGACTTAACGGTGTCTATTCCAGTTAACTCTCATTTAGATTGCTCAGAATTAAATGGATTTTTGTCTCTTATTGACCAATGGTCTCTCTCAAATGGTCTCAAGTTAAATTTTTCTCAATGTCAGACTGTTATTTTTGGCCTCAGGCATAAACAGGACTTGTGTGAGCTGCTTAAGTCTCATGACGCCTGTCACAGCATTGATGGTGTTTGTGCAGAAAGTAAATGGAGTGTTGGGTTGAGCTTTACATCTGACCTTTGTTTGTCGTCTCATATCTTGTTGACTTGTGAAAAATCTTTCGTTCAACTTACTACATAAGCAAACTGAGGCTCTCTGGTATAAATCAACTCCTAATTTTACAACTTATTAATTCCCGCATTTCCCCTATTCTTCTCCATTGTTCCCCACTGATCTTTCCTGGTCTTCTAAAAAAAGGATTGTTATACTGCGTAGGGTTTTGAAAGCCTTCAGCAGGATGATTGCTGTACATCTGGCCTAAATGATTAACACTGTGATTGATAAACATTCAAATTCTGGCAAGCAACTAGGTACAGTAATTTTAACTGACACTGAACATCCACTTCATTCACAGCTTTCTCTTTGTATCTCCTCAGGGAGGAGAATAAACTACATAAGACTGTACGTTCGTAAAGCTAAGTAAAATAATTCGATTGTACCTTACCCAACACGCATATTATGTGAGGAAAAAGTGTTAGGGTAGAACTCACACATCACTTTGTAACAGTTAATCTCATCTCAATAGTTTAACCAACAATGCAAAAAGTTCTCTGTTTTAATATTCTTTACATTAATTAATATTCATGATGGCACAATTTGAAATGTTGTAAAGGAGTATAAGCATAAGTATATTTTGTTTTTGTTGTGATATATCATGCTGAGAATTCCAAATTGTACCATAAATTGTTATTACTATTACTATTCTAGACATTATGAAGGCCAGTGGTATATTTTTTAATGTGACTATTTCGTTACTCTGTTAACTTCTGACATTATTTCCTTATGGTCTTCGAAATTAAACTGGCTTACGAAATCAAGTATAGTTAACTTGGAAAATCTCAATATTCCCATGGAAAACTATGAAGATGTTATCAAAGGGGAACTGAACACATTATCGCTATCACTAACTGAAGTGATTGGATAATTATTTAAAAACCTTGTTTAACGCTTATGTTTTTCAAATAAAACTCACAACTAACTTCTGTTTAGAAAAAAGAACCTAAGCAAGCATTTTGAGCAGTCTTATTTTCCAGCGTATACTCAGTGATACTACAGTTCAGCTGCTGCTTTTTAACATGAGAGGTAAATTATGTATGGTGAATAAAAGCACAGTCTTTTGTTGTGTAACTGGCAGTATTCCAAGAAACATGAGAAAACAATGGGCACAATGAATTATTTCGAAAAGTCTTTTAGTGCCACTGATTCCTTTGCTAATACATTCTCAAGAATCCTACTGGTGTCGAGTAGGATATGCGGTACGTTTAAGACTCTGCTACCCGTTGTAAGTGTTTTCCTTCAGTTCTCTTTCATTCAGAATCCTTTTATGTGTATTTAAGTGATACACATGTGGAAAACATAGTTTAAACACAAGTAACTGAAGTCATCACTTAGCTTCTTCACTTAAAACATAATGCTGACCTTAGGTTCTGTAAACTAAATAATCCCAAAGTTTGGTAGGTATTTTGTCAGAAAGTAGTTATCAAATGCCTAGAAACTTTTACTGCTATTGTTTTCATCTAGGTCATAGGTTCTAGGCAAGGGTTGTACTAAAGTATATGCACAGTCAGGATATAAAAATGGTTCTTAATCTGTGAAGGGTAGCTTAACGTAGTTTATATCATCCACGCAGATCGAATTTATACTTTATTTCTAGCAGAAAGTTAGTTGTGGATTGAATACTTAGTAAACTAACTACACAGCTGGTCATTAGAGCTCAGCGTCACCCTTCTTAGTTGGAGAAGACAAATTTAATTTTTCAAAATCCTACCCAAATATTTAGAATTGTAGACTCTATAATTTCCTTTCTATAACACTTGGATCTTTACCAAGGTAAACCGGGCTGGATTAAGACGCTGGACTTCATGTTTGGTAAACTAACATATTCACTAATTTTGTATTCTTATCTGATCCCCTAAACCCCTAAGCGATAAAAGGTAGTACGTTTTATTGAAAACGGTCTTTCTTTTCGCATGCATTAGCAAAAGGTAGGCCTGTTTGGAATGCATCTGGAAGGGCTGATTGTTTGGAACAGTGCAAGATTTTGAAAAATGTTGGGCATATCCACACTGCTGAAAAACAAGAGGGATCAGACACTTGATTTTTATATTGTTTTTTCATTAAGCCTGTCCTACAGTCTAACGAAAGCCAAAGCATTAACGAGTTATGCACCAAACACTTTTTAAAAGCCTATATGATTAAAAGTAGTTGGCTTTCAGTGAACCTAATAACAAAAAGGAATGTCTATCCCTGTTAACTGTAAAAATCCGTATTAGAAAGACAAAAATGAATTGCCGTTGTGCTCATATGTTTTTTCTGAATTAATTAGGCAAAATTTCAAAAATCCAAAATCTGAGCGATAATTTAATCAGTTTAATTTTCTGTAAAAGTGTTTAATCACTTACATCTGAGTTTAGATTAACTAAACAATGATGATATTAATAGGCAACTTATTTAATATCACTATAAACTGCTAACCAGCCCTGTGTAATATCGATGTGAAAAATTTACTTTGTACAGCTCAAAACTTGTGTAGAACTATCCACCAGGTATTTAGTGAGACAAAATCACAAATATTAGCAAAATCATTCGAATCTAAACTGAATACAATAGCTAGAGTCACTAAGCTACTTAAGTGTAGTTTCACAAGCAAATGACATAGTGGACTCCAGAAGTTACCACTTTATGGTAACAAAAAATAACTTACATGAACCATGACCAACTGTAAAAAGATCGTTGTATTGGGGAGACCAACACAATGAAGTTACAGCAAGCTTCTTGGCTTTCTCGAAGGTAAACAGCCACAGAGGTAGCAAAGTGCCCTGATTATCTCTAAATTCGTCCGACTGATCTTCATAGTATTTGAAATCCTGGGTCACCTCATCATGTGTATTCTGATTTATCATGCGTTCAACGATTTTAATGGGTCGAGCAAAGCGACTTAAGTCATCTGCCTAAAATAATCAGTAAATTAGAAAAATATTCATTTTACGATATTTTTACATGGATTTAAAAGCATGATAATTTTAAAACATGTAAAATATCACGGGGTGGTGAATGAATTAGAAATAAAACCCTAGACAGGGGAAGATTCTGACAAAAAGCCTCTACTGTGTGGCACCAAGCAAACATCAATCTGTTAAGCCCCGGCAATTCGAGGTGGTCTCATCAACAAACTGTAGAAAATTTGCTCATGAAGCACAGTAATTGGATTTTCGACATTAAAGTCAAAATTATTCAGTATCCGGTAAGAGAAGACATGAAATAAAGATGAATTATTATATCACTAAAATTGCTTTGTCTAAACATGTACCCTTGAAAGTTCCCGTCTGAAAAATATTAGTGGTTTTATGCAGTGTGCAAAAGCATATGAAACATTTAAGTAAGACCCTAAATTATACAGATGTAAAAGAGCTGATAAAAATGAGCAAAAAGTTTCAAAAGTATTGAACAATCTGGATACTTAAAACAAGTAGACATGCAAAATCTTATTTAGTTTGTCTGAAGAATAGCTAATACTTTACTAATTGAGCTGTTACATCATATTGTAAAGAATTTTATCTCATGACTTAGAAAACCTGCAATATAAAAACAACTGTTTACATTTGTACTTGTATCAATCTGGTATTGAGTTTGGAATAACGGAGGACGGAAATATAGACCATGAATATAAGAGAAAAGTCTGCTCAAAGAGGTATAAAGTAGTAAACTGTGTTTTGATTTGCCTAAGTTTGGTCAAAAAGATCGACGAAGAACATGGCATGTAAGTTAATCATTTCAAGCTACTAAGATTTCCAGTAGGATGCAGAATGAGGTGGAAAGACAAATAATGAAAATAAAGTGCACGAAGATGTATACGAGAAGAGAGAACGAATCGATAAAAGTTAGTGAGGAAATTCAGAGATGAAAAACGGTGTACAAACATATACCAATGCGGCAGGTATGCAGTCTTCTACCACTTATTCCTATTGTTTTGAGGACCTGAACTAGGTAACTTATATTGCCATACGAGGCTAAGACAAACAGTCAGAGACTGCGTGAATTGGTTTCACGTTTTGATTAACCCTTGCTTGTTCCGAATAACACTGCTCGTCAAGGTAGATGGTGGTTCAGCATATGTAACATATATACAAGCTGTTTCAGGCGGTGGAAGGTCACTACTTCAATAAGTGACTTGAGTTTCTTTCTAGCACTCTTTACCCAACCTCAACACTGCTCGAGATGTGATTCCACCTAGCATGAGCAATACTGCGAAGATGCCTGTGATAAGAAACTTACAACTTCTTCATATCCTCCAAATTGAGCGACTGTGTATCACAGCCGTACAATTTGATGTAGCGGACTGTTGAGCAATGCGTTGGTCCTTTTTTAGCTGATCGGATGTCTGACTAGCACCAGATGTTGTGTTAGTTGGAAAATACCGAGAAGGCCTCATTTATATGAGCTTAAACGTCATCAGCAATTAGTCCACCATGATTAACTTGCTGACAATTCACCTTCCCTCCTTAAACTAGGAGCCCGTGTGGACCAGACTGAAGTCATCACCTTACATTACAGGTATTAGACATATGCCGAAAAGACTCAGCTTTCCTCAAGGGTTTCAGTCCATATTTCGTCAGCGTCTTGACTTATCAGGATAATGTCATCTATGAATCCCAAGTCGACCAGATGCACCTTAAGGAATGGATTATTCTTTGAAAAGTAGAAAGCATTTAATTTAAAGTCTATTAGTATGTCTGTGACAAGAGTGAATACGAATGCTGATGGTAGACATTATTACTGGGCACCAAGATTTCTGCTCATTTCACACGAAAACTCTCTATTGACCTTTGTCTGGCTGTTTGGGTCCAAGCAGAATCTTGATTAGCACTGTACAATTTCTTAATGATCTCTATGCTCCAGAACTTGTCGAAGAACGAAGATCTGATTGATGCACCTTTGTTCAAGTGAGAAAATTATGTAGACTTAACGAGCCTATTTTCTTGAGCTGTGGTCAGAGATGTGACTGTCATCCGCCAGTGAGTAAGGCGGTTACTTTATACAGTATTTTTCTAGCTTTTTCACTGAAAAATTCCAGTAAAAAAGTGTTAGGTCTTGCTCCATTGTGTCAATTCCGGTGTAAAACAACTTTCTCAGACTTAGTGAGATTTGAAAGTATAGTCATTTTTTTAACTAGCAAGGGAATAAAGAAGTTACAATTTCAAATAGTATAGGGCCTCACCAAATCAAGGTCTACTGCTTTCACGGGACATATGACTCCAAACTACACAACTATTAGTAGTAGATTTTTAAATTTCACTGAAAACAAGGAGACAGTAAGACATTTTTAACTTTTGCTTTTCTAAGTAACTTTCTCTGGTGTTATATACAAGCAGTAATTATCCCCTGTAAGTAACGCACAATTCTTTTCAGAGATTCGTGCTTTAAAAAGCTAACTGAAACTTAAAGGAGGTAGTTTTTACTTCTAGACTACTTCAAAACATAGTTTTAACTAAAATGACTGTCCATAGAAAAATCTGGTTGCTTAAATTTACTGGTATATGTGTAAGTGTCCAGAGATGATGGTCTTAAAACGTGGATATTGTGTAAATGAATTATTTGACATAATTCTAATTATGTTTAACTGTTAGCAAACCATCCCCTAACTTTTTATAGCTTCATAGATTTATAAAAATGTTATACAGTACAAATTTCGAATATGTAGGAATTTTACAGTTTTTCCAGGAATCTTGGAGTTTTAACGCATCCACATGGGTTCTTTCATGTTCTTAACATCTCTCCCTAAACTCCCACAAAACTCATTAGAATCAGAATCTGAGTTTTTGATTTAAAATACCCCAGATAATCATACAAAGCAATATGATGTATGTACTGAGCAGCGGAAGAAAGTACAAAATTGTGCACTCCACGTCAAAAGGAAATCAGATTACTAAAATCCCTTCAGAAAAGTTATTTGGTACTGATAGTGTAACCCAAAACTAAAAATGCTGAAAAACAACAACACTCGTCTTACTTCAGATGATCCTTAGTAACTTGGATAGCACCTCTTATACTACTTAACAGGCACCCACTGAAATTTATATTTCTATTACCTCATATTATCTTCCTTGTTACTACAAGCTGTGGCGATTTTACGAAACACTGGCTGTGGAATTTATATCTAGCTTTTGGATTCCTGGTGAGTCATTAACTTACAATCGATTATTTGTTTCTTACTGAGCTCCCGCTTTATGCATCAAGATGGTTACTTCTTTCACTTGCATATTCTACACTTTGTTCTTCGGAAGAATAACTTGGTCACCATAAAAGTTGAGCAAATTGGATTAAAAAGTCATTGAAAAATTCATGTTAAGCGCAAGTACCATTGTGAACACTCACCGTACTTCGAAGTCATCTGACACAATACCAAGGTTAGGGATTAACCCATGTAACTGTCCTAACGGTTCATAACGTATGCATATTCCCTCCTGGATTGGAATCTCACAATGCGACATCTACTACAGGTACTCAGTGGCAGACAAATTGAAGTGTCAATAGTAATAAGTCATAATAACTTAATATTGTACTGAGATAAGACTAACAAAGCTATAGACCGATTATTCACATCCACGACAAAGTTTTAAAGGGAACTAAGCAACTACCTGTGTTTCTGCATGCACAACCTTCTTTCGCACCTTGGCTTCCTGTTTCTGACCTACTGAAGTTGGTTTTTTATCTTTGCTTTTTTCCTGCTGTCTTTCAAAGTCCTCAATGTAGTCGTCATATATACTCCACTGGGTGATGTTAGCAGAAAAGTTTGCTCTTGGTGGTGGCTCTGTCATATTTCCCCTTTCCTAAAACGAAATTATTTCTGAATGATGCATACTCTATGAGGGTTGTTATATGTTTGAGTAGAACGCTCACAAAAGTTGAATTGGTTAGTCAATTTCTTTTGTGGCGACTGAATATCTCTTTCTTTAGTTCCAAAAACCACCTACATTCCTAAATAAAAATCATACTGTCAAAACTACCTCCTTGTTGTCTTCTTCTATTGAAGATTCTAATCATGTGAAACAATAAAGTGGGTCGACCTACCCTCGAGTTGCAAAGTTCCATCTCTAGCCATTTGTCTCCTAGCTTCATCTGAATCTTTTGGTAACATGTGACCTTCATGCCAAAAGTGAATAGCCATTTGTTGTACTTGAGGTATTTGCTTGTACTGACCTTCCTGGAAAAAAAATTACAGTTAATCGCATGTATTCACCTTGAAGTTGAACCGAACAATGTTTTGCGGAGCATGAGGGTTAGTGGCAGTTAGAACCCGTGTAATCTCTTCTTTAAGTTCCTAAAACATTCGCACTGTAGTTTTGTCGAACCTGTTCAGTAAGCTGAAGCTGATCTTCCGGTTTCAAAATGGAACGAACACCGTATTCATCTAGCTCTTCACGCATACCAAATTCTAATTCTTCTCCGTCCAGTTGGCTCTTCTTTTGTGGTTTCTTTGAAGCCTTTGAAAACAAATAAAGGGTAATCCCAATAAAGGCTTACTCGTCTTTTAAGTTCAAGTTTCATGATGTTACTGAAACGTAAGTTGTGCGAAGGTTAAGTGAGGTGTGCCATGGTAACTTTTTTTGTGAATGACTTAAAGTAATATTAACTTGGACCTGACCAAAAATCTCAAGTGTTATTCTGAGACCATCAGCCACTATTTATTGATAAATTAATGTAACCGTTTGTCGTAGACATTTTGTTTCCACTAGTTAACAACGTCCTGGAAGAATTTGAGCGCTGAATACGATTTATTCACTATCTGCTGTTTATGTCACAGCTTCTTCACTACAAGATTCGGATTTTCATTAAGAATCCATTCAAAACACTCTTGTTTTGATTTGCTAAGCATGCTGGATCATACTCAAACCCACTTATTTTATGATCAGCAGTTTTCGCTATCGTATAACATCTCTGAGTAAGATGACTCCCACATTCCAACTTGGTGATCTAAGTAACTGTGATCAGATCGATGCTCAGATTTGTAGATGAAGGTTAGGTTGCTGTGACCTTATAATAATCTTCTTTCTATCAGCACCTGCGCTTATCCAGTCCACTCTTGGATGAGCCAAATGGTGGTGCAACACCACCTCTTCTAAGAGCCTGTACTAGGATCCGACTACTCAGTGCGAAAACGAGAGCTATATGGAGACTAAATTTGTCTGAAGATTTTTAACTGACCTGCTGTGCACTCTGAGGTCTTCCAGTCGGATCAAAAAGAGAAGCAAAGACAGTTCAAGCTTGAAGTCGCCTTTTAAAAGCCGGAAGGTCTCAGTCACCTTTCAGGTGTGAATATTTTGCGTAGTTTTATGGTTTGGATGCGGCTACGAATGGCCATAAGGCGGAGGACGTAGGTCACGGGTTCCGGGAGACGCACCGCGGAATATCCGAACAACCTAGAGCCTCCGGGTTGCAACCAGTCAACAGTGCGCTGTGACCCACGAGTCACGACTTACCGTAGAGGTCGCAGGGAACTCAGGACTACGACTTGCTGCACTTCTGTCCCCATTGACCTCCAGGGGATGGCTGGCAACTGACCTTTAACATTTTTCTTCCACCAACGAGGAAATACCTGGCACATGTAAATAAGCTCTCAGCGATTTCGAAGTTTTCCATTTTCACGAGAGTTTTTTTTAGCAGAGTGCCCTGTCAAAGCCCTTGCTAAAGTCTACAACAACAAAACCCACGCGTATCCTATCGTCGTTAGACTTAAGCCAACTTTTGCTGTATGTGAGTTTCGTCAATTGGTAGGAGCTTTTTGGAAGCCACGTGGCAAGTGAGCTGATGCAGTGTTTCTTTCTAAGTGAACTGCAGAGGCTTTTTTGACTACCTCTCCTAAGCTTTTTATTACGGCGCTAATCAAGCTTATCGGTACGCAATTCAATGAGCACTACCAAGAAGCCTTCCTGCGTATAGGTGTGACCGCGGGATCCTTTGGGCGTAGCCAGTCCGGTCCCACCAATTTGTCGGGATCCATAGCACATGTCGCCCTGAGGGCACCACTGCATAGTACTTCCTAGGAGTTTATTCTGCTGGATGTCGAAGGTTCCTGAGTACAGAACTCGACGAAGCTCCCAACGGCGGCCCATACTTCGTCCTCCTCCTCTTTCGCTAACGAGTAATTCTCTGTCTGTCCTATTGGACCGGAATGCCACGGTGCATTTTTTCTACAGTTTATACAGGAAAATAGCCTCTCCAAGTGTTTTATTGTAGACAGAGGAGGATGCGGTTCACCGTATGTTAGGGATCGGCAGGGGGTAGTGATACATGTGTTCCCAGTTAATCTGAAATGCTTCTTTGGCTTGTGGGTACAAAGATTATTGACCAGACCAGTACTGATACTTCCATCGTAGTAAACTTCACATCTTGCGTCCCACTTCCATAGGAAAATTTCGTTCTTCTTTCAGGGCAGTTCAGAGAATAACGATTGGGTTATCCATGTGCATAACTCACGTCACACCCAAAGAAGAAGTGATAGCGGAATATTTGTGGTAGTTTGCTCCGAGAACCAAACAGATAAACATAATGGCTTGCTAAGGAAACACACAACGGATGTAAGTATGGAAAACCAGGATGGGAATGTGATTGGGCGAGATACAAAAGTGTTCTTATCAGAAACGCGGATTCCGCGTTGAAGTGATCGTGACAATATGGGGTTTGTGTTTATTTGATGACTCTTTCGAATGAATAGAGGATGGCGACAGTAGATGTATCTGGTGAAACTAATAGGAATACGACAACCACTTTCAAAGGCAGGTAAAATGCCTTTGGCTCCGGAATCTAATTGCCACCTGAACAATTAGCCAAAAACTAAGGGACATTTTAATGCATGCGACAGACAGCTGGTAACTGGCAGCTCTACCTTTCGTTCCGGCAATGCATTGATAAATTCGTGGGGTATATTTGGACAGAGCATCACAATCGTAGTGGAGCATTAAAATTTACTATGTTTAGCGAAAACGACCTTTGAAAGAGGCCCACTTAGGGAGGTGACATTATCCGCCCAAAATACAAATGTCATCATCCATCAGCGCTCAGGTGAACCCCTCAGCTCTGAAAGTTGTCTTGGTTATCAGTGAAATCAAATTCTTAGAGGAGCGAACCTGCGCCGAAACCGCTAGTTGCCGTATATAGTCATTCCATTCATAACAAAAGTAAAAAGAATGTTGTTCACTGGACCACAACTTTATGATTGTCAAGATATGCGATTTATTATGAAAGTGGATAGGAACATGTCACACTTGCCAACCACAAGGTTTTTGTGGTATGAGGAAAATGGGAGACAAAAATTTCTGGATGTCCATCATGCACATTCGGACAAACTTGCTACATTATTTTTGCCGGTTTGAAAAAAGGCAGATATTTGGCTTTCAGCCGTAATAGCGGTCAGTATTATCAATCTCCAACGATAAGTGCTACAGGGATGAACGGAGCCTGCAGTTCTACATTCATTAACGAACAGCAGGTAACGAACCAAAAACATAACATAATGCACGAGCCTTTCACCGCCAATAGAAAGCAGAATGTGACGAACAAAACAGTAGAAGTAACAGTCTAATCTTTTATTTTTTTCTGCAGCCAACCCTGCAATACCTAACTGCAAACTCTGGCCTTTGTTATGCGAATACAATACTTTGAATCGTCCGTAGTGTCAGTTTGTGCATGCTTATTCTGCTGACGTCCTACATTTCATTGACATACAGTACACGTATTCTGGTAAGTTTATTCGACTGAAGTTGGAAAACTGTTACGAAGAGATTCTACGCAGTGAATGAGTTTTTGAAACATGAACTTCTGAGTATACAGAGAAATTCGTTGACCCAAGGGGGAAGAAAAGTGCATCAAAATGAAGAAAAATTCTGGAGATCGAAAATCATGTATGACATCCCCAACCAGCCCAAGTCGGTTTGTTCCTTATTTTTCGGTTTTGATAGTGACGCTACATACGCGGATGTTCATTCCACTGGCTGAGACCTTTGCAGTGGTTGAAGTAAATAAACAAATACTTCACTCCAAAACTAAGAGTTTAACATGAGCCAGTTTACAGACATCAAATTTATAGTGGTATAGAAATCTCTAGTGGTTGAGCTGTCCTGAGTGATACATAAGGTACCACACCACGGTTCGTCATGATACCAAGTGACTGCAGGCTATAAGGAAGACAGAAAAATATCACTCCACAGTACATACAGATTGCTTATGAGTTTCGGTTGTCTTCACTCACCATTCTTTTTTCACAATAAAGTGATACCAAAATCGCACAATATTCGGCCTTTACGTTACATGTGACCCAGATGGTTAACCTGGTTAACCTAGTTCAGATAAACGCTTATTTTAACGTCGGTCCACATGTTTACAGTATCGAGGGCCAGCGAAAACTCACTTCATCGACTTCACGTAGCAGTAAGTCTTAGCATAACCAAACAGCTAACCAATGTAGTTTAGGGCGTTGAAGTGGAAGCGTAATGTGAGAAATTGCACGTAGAGGTAGAGGGGTTGGTGCCCTTGTGGTCAGAAGAGGTTGACTGAGTCAAAGATTTAAGTACCGACTTCTTCTTAAGTAAACTAGAGGTAGGTATGATATAGAGAGCATTCCAACAGAAAAGCTTCGTCAAGGCTAAAATAAAACAAAACCTGATGATTAACAACCCAGAAAAAGTCTCAGGGGTAGTTCCAAAGGAAAAGATGGATTGTAAACACAAAAAGAATGAGTTACTTCGTGACAACAGTATACTTCAGAAATTAGTTGCCTTTTGTGATAGGGAGAGAAAGCTAGCAAAGTAGTCGAAAAGATAAAACATGTTTACGTTCCAGAAGATACCTTTGAAAATCTCAAGCCTAAAAAGACCGCTACAAATGAAATGTATGGTCCATCGAAACTTCTAGAAAACGTTGTAGCGTCACACACTACCCAAAATCAATAGCCTAGGGTTTGACGACTTATAATAATAATAATAATATATTTCATGCAACAAAGGTTACATGAATACAAACCAGTTTACAGGTTTGATCACTTTGGTAATGAGAGATGACTATTATGTACAATGTTATGCTATACATTAGATGCTGTGATTTATGGCATATAGGAGGCATGTTGAAGCAGGCTCAGTTCGAATTTGGAGATTATCCGGCCATCGTTTGAATCATCCAATATTCTTGAAGGTGAGGCCGCATCACAGTCATGACCTTGGGGTGTGCGCGTTCGTCATCAGGTTTCGGTGCCAATATTTCCCGCTGACGAATGCGATTTGTAGGATTCCGTTTGAATGCAGGACTGGTTGGTGCTGACCCTGATAGTTTAACTGGACTCGCTAAGCTGAAGGCACCCGGTCAGGCATCCTCGCCATTTGGCACGCTGTCGTGTTACGTTGCACTGCTCGTATTCGACTCTCTAGCCAGTTGGTTGGAACGCATCGGTATTTTGGCACAACCATCCAAATATACTATTCCATCCGACTACGCTATCGTGTTCTTCCTTGGTCTCGTATTCGTGGGTATATAACAAGTTCGAATAATTAGTGATT